CCGGCTGCTCTGCGGCGGGGGACGAGCAGCTTTCCGAGCCCCGGGGTGCATGCGTGGGCGCAGCGGCCCGGGGCAGCTTCTTCCTCCCCGGGGCGGGAGTGGGTTTCCCGGGGGTGCTGGGCGTCAGCCCCGGTCCCACGGAGCCGGCTGAGGTCACCGGGGCTGGCAGGCGGCCGACAGCCCAGCCCGCAGCAGCGCCGTGCCCTGGGCAGGGCCGCCGAGGCGGCTGGGAGAACCGGGTGCGGGAGCTCGGGGCGCCGGTGGCAGCGAGACGGTGTCTCGGGTGCCGCGATCCGGACCGGGGCGGGTGGGAGCCAGGGCAGCCCTGGGGTGCGGGGCACGGGGGGTACCCGGCAGAGATGGGGCTGCGCTAAGCGGATGGCTCGCTCTTAGCACGGAGGAGTCCGGCTGCTTCTCGGCGAGGGTGGGCGATCCCGGGTGGAACGATGTCGGAGGCCGTGGATCTGTCCTTCCTGTCGGACGCGGAGAGGGATTTGATCCTGCAGGTCCTGCAGCGCGACGAGGAGCTTCGCAAAGCGGAGGAGAGGAGAATCAGGTGAGGACGTGGCCGGAGCCGAGCAGGGCGCTGGTTTCTCCGCTTTGCTCTAGAGGCGGCTGGAGGGGCGATGGGGCCGGGGTGGCAGCTCTGCCCCAGCCCCGGGGGTCCCGGCCCGGCTCTGACAGCTCCCGCTCTTGGGGTCCGAGCAGGCGGCTGAAGAACGAGCTGCTGGAGATCCGGCGCAAGGGTGCCAAGCGGGGCAGCCAGCGCTACAGCGAGCGGACCTGCGCCCGCTGCCAGCAGAGCCTGGGTCGCGTCAGCCCCAAGGCCAACACCTGCAGGGGCTGCAACCACTTGGTGTGTCGGGACTGCCGTTCCTACGGCCCCAACAGCTCCTGGCGCTGCAAAGTCTGCACCAAGGAGGCGTGAGTAGCTGGGGACGAGTGGCGAGGACCTTCTGTGCTCCTCCTGTCCCCGTCCTCTTCCCGGTCACCCCAGCTTGATGCGCTATGGCCAACCTTTCCTAGCCCAGCCGGTCTTCTCCGCTGTCCCTCTGCTGTCACCTCCCGGGGTGGGCAGCCATGGTTTGGTGATGGAGAACTGGGTCGTGCCCCGCTCTTGGGCCTCCTTCACTCCCACCCCACTCCTTTTCCCCCCTTACTTGACTCCGGCATATCCCCGTGCTCCTCGCGCACCCTGCTTCGAGCACCCCAGGTTTCCTCTCTCTCGGCCTCCCCTGTCCTACAAAACCCGTCTTGCTCCCGTGTTTGCTGGGGATGTAGCTGGGCCCATCGTCTGCCCAGTGCATCATCTCTGCCCAGCCACTTGCCGAAAGTGCCCACTGTGCCTGTGCTCTCCTTGGCTGGTGGCAGCACCGAGGGTGGTGTTGGGGTGCAGGGAGCAGCCCCCCCGCTGCCCCTGACCCCCTGACTGCCCCCCACCGCCTCCCTGCCCTGCAGCGAGCTGAAGAAGACAACAGGCGACTGGTTCTATGACCAGAGGGTCAACCGCTTCGCCAACCGGCTGGGCAGCGACATGGTGCGGCTGTCCCTGCGGCACAAGTCGGCAGGTAAAGGTGCCACAGCGATGCCTTTTCCCGCAGCCTGGCCCACCGGGATGCTCCAGCTTTCCCTGGTGCACCTCTGCCCACTGCGGAGCTGGCTGGGAGCAGCTCCTGCTCTGGAAATGGGCTCAGAGCAGTGGTCCTCCTGATGCCTCTCTCCTTCCAGCCAGCAAAAGAGAGACAGTGGGACAAACCCTCCTCCAGAAAGCCCAGCTTGGCGAGCCCAAAAACTCTTCCGCAGCCCGGCAACAGAGCCCCCCAGCACCCCGAGAGGGGCCCAGGTGAGGATCCCTGCTGTCTCCCCTGCTCCAGGTGCCAGCCCTCGCCTGCTGCCACCCTGCTCAGATCATTGGTGGTGCAGAAGCTCGCTCTCTCAGGCTGGCCTACTTGCCGAACAGGACATACCTGTGGTTTTGTTTGTCTGCAGTTTGTTTCTGGATGCCTCAGATCCTCGGGATGGCAAAAGCGACACAGAGTCCATGGAAAACATGAGCCTGGATGGCTACAGACTTAGTCCCGGTGGCGTGGGGGGCAGGTGAGGGGCTCCCTGGGCGGGTTGTCCTTGGCAAGGCTGGCCTGGTAGAGGATGAGGACTTTTGTCTCATGTGCCTTTTTCTCGGTCTGGTGAGGGAGAGCTGGCTTCTCTGGCTGGGCTGAAACCTGTCCCTGGGCAGGCAGGTCCTCTGCTCCCCAGGCTGGGGTGCTCCGGGGAGCTTGTGGGGAGATGGCATTTCCCGGCCAGCACTTGCTCTCCCAGCCGTGCTCCTAGCGTGGGACAGACCTTTCTGTGTCCTCCGCAGGAGTAACTCCCTGGAGAGAGCCACCCCTCTCAGAGATGGAAAACAGGTTGCTGCGCCAGCAGGACCTGCTGCCACCAGCCTGACCCTGCCTCTCCGCTCCAAAAACGGACGGGTGCGTGCCACTGCTCCGGCAGGTTCAGCCCTGTCCTGGGGGACAGGGCTGGGAGCATTGTGGGGTGCCCAACGCTGCCCTGCACTGAAGGGACCTTTCCTCCCCAGGATGCCGCCGTGGGAGGCTGCAGCGGCGCCTTGGCGGATGAGCACGAAACGATATTCAAGAAGAATCCCCGGCGGGTGGTGAGGCCTGCGGGTGAGAGCTACGTGGGTGCAGGGGGGGTTGGGTGCCGACATGGCAGGGGGTGGATGACCGCTTCTGCCTGGGCTGCGGCAGGCTTTCAGCGGAGATGGGAGAGACTGGAGGGAGCAGCAGGGCTCTGCTAGTCCCGCAGCGTGTCGCTGCCTCCTGCCTCACCATCTCTCGTACAGACTACACCAAGTCGGTGATCGACCTGCGCCCGGCGGACTTTGTGGGGGAAGGCGGCTCTTTGGGGGACAGGAGCAAGTCGGTCCCTGGCCTCAACATGGAGCTGGTGAGACCCTCGGCGTGCCCCTCGGTGTGCCGCGGAGCCGGCTGCCAGGCGGAGGAACCGTCTGCCTGGCCGGCTGTGCCATGCTGTTCCCCGTGCGGGTGGCTTGTCTCTCTCCTTGCAGGAGGAGGAGGAGGAGGACATCGATAACCTGGTGGAGATCCATCGCCAGAGGGTGGCCCGCAGCAGCATGCGCAGTGGCACCTCCTCGGTGAGTCCCTGCCGTGCGGCCGTGCTCTGCTCCGCTGCAGGAAGAAATGATGGAGAAGGGCAGCGCCGACAGGTTGAGGTGGAAGAAGGCAGGGCAGGCAGCTCCTGGGGTGCATGGGCAAGAACTTGGGGTGTGGGGGCTTCCTCCTCTTGAAGGGAATCGAAACGTGGAGACCCAGCTCTCTTCCAGGGAGCTGCATGTGGGTGGGAGGCACTCGGCAGCCTTCCCCAGCCACAGAGGGGTGAGAGGGGCTGTGCAGAGGAGGCATGGGGAGTAGCCTTGCTGAGGATGAAGAGGGACCATCAAGTGATGCTGCCCCGGCTCAGCCCTGCCGTGTCTTCCAGAGCACGCTGGGGAGCATGGTCAGCATTTACAGCGAGGCCGGCGACTTCGGCAACGTCACGGTCACCGGGGGGATCTCCTTCTCCCTGAGCTACGAGCAGAAGACGCAGACCTTGTTCATTCACGTGAAGGAGTGTCGCCAGCTGGCCTACGGGGACGAGGGCAAGAAGCGCTCCAACCCGTAAGAGCTGGAGGGGGCCATGGCTGGTGGCACCGCCGGTGGCGCTCAGCTGGGTTGTGGGGTGCCCGCCAGAGATTGGAGCTGTAACTGGGGGGTCTTGGCGAGGCAGGAGGGCTGGGGTCGTCCTGGGGAGCTCGGGGGGCTAGTCGTGGGGAGACGTTGGTGAAGCACTGCCTGCCCCTGTCTTCAGGTACGTGAAGACCTATCTCCTGCCTGACAAATCCCGGCAAGGGAAACGCAAGACGACCATCAAACGCAACACCATCAACCCCCTGTATAACGAGCTGCTGAAGGTGAGCGGGGACGGGCTGGGGTTCAGCCCGCTCCTCGCTGCGGGGCCGGGCAGGCACTCAGCTCCCCAGGATGCTGCTGGAACAAACCAGGGGAGGGATGGGCTCCAAACGCTGAGGCGGGGGCTCCACAGAGGACCCGTGTCCAGACACTGCACCCTGAAAGCTGGAAAAACCCACTGCCAGGCTGGGTCGCTGCTCTGATGTGGCTGTGGTGTCAAGCCCCGGGTGCCGTGGTGGACGCACAGCTGCAGATGTGAATATGTGTCACGGGCAGTGTTCCTGCCTCCTGTGGCATTCCCCAGAGCTGGGGCCTTCTGCTTACCCTGGACATTGCTTTCCATGGAGGAAGCTCCCAGGCTGTTGCAGGCAGGTCACAGTGGTGGGAGGGAAGGCAGCACAGCTGCAGAGGCAGAGATAAGGCAGCTTTGCCCCCAGGGCAGAAGAACTTGGCGCTGCCGTTCACCATCCCCGCTGCGGCCGCCATGGGCTGGTGGGACCGGCTGGCTCCGTCCCTGAGCTCTGGCCCCTGGCTCAGGCCAGGCGCTCTCCGGACAGGAGGGAAGTGGGAATCATGGTTTGGTTTCCAGGCTCCCACAGCCCCGGGTTTGCTGAGGTCTTGCGCTCTGACCACCTGAGGCTTGGTGGGCTGGCAGAGCTTCGCTTGTGGTGGGATGGGGTGGGGTGGCCAGATTCCAGAAGTCCTGGTCCTGGCTCTGCACGGGCTCTGAGGACCACTTGCCTGGAGAACACGGGCTCCTGCACCACTGCCCCAGGACTTTGAGGTTTCAGGAGGCTTGGAAAGGAAGACAAACAGTCTCCTGCATGCATCCATTGCTCCTCAAACCTGTCTCCTGCTCGAGAGCTGCGGTTGATGGTGTATGCTAAGCCTGTCCCCTGCCTGACACTGCCTGCTCACCCGTGGTTTTCCTGTTTCTCTTCCTAGTACGAGATTAACAAGTCCCTCCTGCTTACAAGGACGCTGCAGTTCTCGGTCTGGCACCACGATCGCTTTGGCCGCAACACGTTCCTGGGGGAGGTGGAGGTCCCACTGGACACCTGGAACTTGGAGAGCCACCTGGAAGAGTTTCTGCCCCTGCACGGCAAGGTGCTGGCCCTGCCACCGAGCCCTGCTGCCCGCAGCCTCCCTTGCCTGGCCCTGTCGGGGGGGGGGATAGCCATTAGTGGGCAGAGGGGTGCAGAGATCTCGGCCGAGAGCTGCCGAACGGCTTCTGCCAAATCAAGTCTTTGGAGAAAGGAAGACCCCAGAAGCAGAGAGCAATACTGTTGTAGTAAAAAAGGGCAGATCTTCTGCCTTGAGCCTAGCTTTCCTCCTCCTCCTCAGTAAGTCCCCTATGTGATGCTGCGAGACTTGTCTTTGTCCCATCAGGTATTTTCATTCCGCTTGATTGATTGCTCCAAGAGCGCAGCTCTTCCCAGCTCCCTGTCCCAGCTGGGAGGAATTGGAGCCAACATCAGGGAAGCAAATGGGGGAAATTGGCCGGGACATCCTGCTGCGGGTTGCGGAGCTGGGCAGTGAGGGCCTTCGTGCAGCTCGATGGCAGCAGCAGATGCTGCTGCTGGACTTAAGTCTGGTTCTGGGGACTTAACTCATCCTGCGGGCTCAGCCCTCAGTGTTGCTGGGCCTCGAGCAGCTTGTGGAAACTCCTAAATAGGGTTTCCTAAGGGAGGTGACTGAGCCAAAGTAGGATCCCAAAGGAGCTGGTCTGAGTCTGACTTGGTGCTGGGGGGGGTCTGCAGGCATTTGTGCTGGCTAAACCACCTCCAGGAGAAGCTGAGCCCTTTGGCCCTTGTGCTGCGCACAGACCAGGCCATCACCATGTCTGCTTTGGCCTCTCTAGCAGTGTTTATTTAGTAAGTCTTGCCTCTTTGCAGATTGGGGTGGATGCTGCTGGTCTCCACCAGTACAGGGGGGAGCTGGTCGTCTCCATGAAGTACATCCCATCTTCCAAACACCCCGGGACTGGGAACGGCAGGAAGGGTGAGTGCCGGAGCTCCAGGATCCCTGCGTAGCCTGCGGGACCCGCTCGTGGCCAGGCGAGCTGGGTCTGGGTGGGTTCCTTGGGTGGTACCACCGCAGTCTTCTCCTCTGCAATGCCTGCAAGGCTGCTCTGGGTGGGGGCAGACCTGGCTGTCCTCAGGCTGGCCGAGCGGTCCCAGTGCTTTCCTGGGGCTGGACCAGGCTGGACCATCGGGCCCCGCGTGAAGCAATTGTCTGCCTTCGCCTCGGCGGGCAGGACCAGTAAGGGAGGAGGCAAGAGGAGATACTAGCTGGGGATCTGTACCTGCCTCTGTGATGAAGGCTCTTCAGCAGGACCTTTCCAGAAGTTTGCGGTGGTGGAAATTAAGGTTGATTAATTCTTGCTGTGTTGGGTTTTCCCCAGGCAAAACAGGGGAAGGCGGTGAGCTCCAGGTCTGGATCAAAGAAGCCAAGAACCTCACGGCTGCCAAATCCGGGGGGACCTCAGACAGCTTTGTCAAGGGGTGAGTGTGGGTCCTGGGTAGGGGGGGCAATGAAGGCACTGTTCTCCCTGGCTGCATCCCAGGGCACTTCCCAGAGCTGCTGCAGGGACCTGGGGGAGGGAAGGGTCTCTCCGCTAGCTGCCCCACGCTGCCTGCGTTGGTGCTCTGAAAGTCACCATCTGCCCAGTGACAAGATGCTCCTGGTAGCAAATGCTCTCCTGGGTTTTGGCTGGTCGAGAGGTTGCGGTGGGAGGCTGTGTGCAGGGCAGGGCTCCAGGTGCCATCAAATCATCGTCCCAGAGGTCACCAAGCCACCGGGCAGCATGGCTGGGGGCGAGGAGGCTCCGGTCCTTGCTTTCTCCCCTCCTTAGACTGCTTGCAGTCTGCTGAGCGGCTTTTCAGGAGGCAGGGCAGAGACCCAGCCCCTTGCAGACTGTCGTGGTCCTTCTTGCTGAGCCATAACAGGGAAGGTGGGCTTCAAGCTGGGTCCTGGGGTGCTGAGGTGCCCCAGCCTCTGGGGCAGAAGGCAGTTGCACACATGCTGCTAACCCAAAGGGCTGCTTCCCCCAGCTACCTCCTGCCACACAAAAACAAAGCCTCCAAGAGGAAGACGCCTGTGGTGAAGAAGACCCTGAACCCTCATTACAATCACACCTTTGTCTACAACGGTGTCAACCCTGAGGACCTGCAGCACATCTGCCTGGAGCTGACGGTCTGGGACCGGGAGCCGCTGTCCAGCAACGACTTCCTCGGGGGTGTCCGTCTGGGGGTGGGCAATGGTGAGGAGCCCTGGGGTCCCATCAAACCCTGGGGACAAGCAGCCTTGCTTGGGGCTGCCTGGCTGTGGGCAGGAGGCTGCTCTGGCAGTGACTTCTGCCCGCATCCATCCTTTCTGCTAGGCATGAGCAACGGGCAGGCTGTGGACTGGATGGACTCTACGGGCGAGGAGCTGAACCTGTGGCAGAAGATGTGCCAGTACCCAGGCTCGTGGGCAGAGGGGACGCTCCAGCTCCGCTCCACCATGGCCAAGCTGAGGCCGTAGGCTGCAGCGTCAGCACCAGGACTCGGCTGAGGGCTGGCACTGCTGCATGGCCTGGCAGGGCTGCCAAACATGGGTGGGTTTTTCTTTTTGCTTATACTTTAATAAACATGACCTTCTCTAAACAGGCTTGGGCAGAAAGTCGTCTTGGCCTAGCTTCGTTTAAAGAAAGGGTTTTCCTTTTGTCTTAGGCTTTGCACCAAATTTCAGGCTGAACTGGAGTCCTTGCGGACCCTCCCTTTTTCCCCCCAGGCAAAATGCTTTCAAATGTGGTTGGGTTTTTTCTTCTTCCCATTCTTCTTCCTCCCACCCCCTCTGTTTTCACAGTCTACTCCCTCGCCTCCTCCACCCTCCTTCCGCAGGATGCTGCCGGCTCCGGGACTGGAGCAGCCGTGCACAACCAAGCCCCAGCCCTGGGTGCGGGGCTGGGATGGAGCCGTGTGGGGTCAACCTGGGGGGGAGCTGGGGGTAGTGGTCCCCAGGAAGGATTTTTTTCCCGCGCTTCTCTGCGACACACTTTCTGCCAGCACTGACTTTTTTTACAAATTTATTTATTTCAAGTTAATATCCTACTGCCAAAACAGTTCCCAGGAAGGGTGCCCCGTGGCTGGTGGAAGGGGAAGCGAGGGGTAGGGTGGGGATGGCGAGCCCTCGGGGTGGGCTGCGCGCTGGCTGGCTCCTACTGGCTTTGCTGAGCGTGGGGCCATTTGCTTTTAAAAAAGGCTTTCTGGCAGCTCTGGCAGGACCCTGGCAGTGGTGCCTGCCCGGCAGGGCTGACCCCAGGGTGGGAGGAAGCGGGTTCAGGTTGTGCGTGGGGTGAGGATGGCCGCGGGGAGGGTGAAGCTGCTGTATTAGAGGCTGTTGTGCTGTTGCCCTGCCTGCCCTGCCTGCTCTCCTCTGCTCTGGCAGCCCAGTGTCTGGCTCCCCGTCTCCCCCCAGCCCTGGGGTTTGAGCAGAGGCACTCCGGTGTCTCCCACCATGGTCCTTGCTGGGCTGCGCCATCCCACCCCGCAGCCGGAGGCCGCTCCTGGCTGCTGGGTGGTGGGAACGCTGCTGGCACATGGTCCCCGTCCCCGTCCCTGCTCGCCTTTCTGTGCCAGAGCGGCCGGAGAGGGGCTCCCCTTCCCCTGGAGGTCCTCGGCACCCTGGTCCTCCTCTACAGTGGGCGACTAGAAAAGCAGAAATGAAGGTGTCCGTCCCCTGAGGCCGGCAGCGGCAGAGGGGGGGGTCTCCCCGGCGCTGCCTCACTCGCAGGGGTCCCCGCTCTGCGCCCGCCGTGCCGCCTCCCGCTCGCTCAGCAGGTAGGTGTCGATGAAGACGAAGAGCTCGTCGGGGCTGATCGGGGTGATGTAGCGCTCGCGGTCGGCGCCCGCCTTGTCCAGCAGCACCGCGTTGAAGTGGGAACGTGTGAGGTGCAGGAACTGCCTGGGGGTGCAGGGGGGGAGCCGCTGGGCAGGGCTGGGGGGGGGTTGCCGGTGATGGCTGAGCCTGCCCGCCCCATGCAACCGTGCTCAGGTCCTTCTGGGATGGTGGCTCCCATCTCTTCCTCAGGGCTGTGAGCTCCAGGAAGGTCTGGTGATGCTGTATTCAGACTTGCCGGGGGTGTCCCCACGTGGCGCAAGCCCCTCTGGTGCAGCAGGAAGGGGGCTGTCCACGAACCCTGCTGCAACCTCATGCTTTGCCATCCCTAGAGATGTCCCCATCCCCGGTCCCCTCACCCAGCCCCCTGGTTCTGCAGGACAGCCCCCGTCCCCCCTTACCTGAGCTCCTCGATGATGCCAAGGGACAGCTGGTGCTCCCGGATACGTCCCACCTCGTTCGGGGGCTGCCCCACCAGCTCGACGGTGGTGACGTGACGCAGGTCCAGCCCGCAGGCAGCTTGCTGTGAAGAGGAGGGGGCGGTGAGAGGGTGCTGAGGGGGGGGGGGAGGGGGGAAGGGGGGGCAGAGGGAGGGGGTCCTCACCTGCAGCATGGAGATCTGCATCTTGTAGTAGCGGTTAGAGGGGTCGGGGGCCGAGATGACGAGGAGGCGGCGTTTCTCGTGGAACTGATCCAGCAGGCTGGCGGCCGAGTTCACGGCCGTGTTGATCTGCATGGCTGGGGCGAGAGGGAGCGCGCGGGGAGATGCCATTTTGCCCCCCATCACCCTTTCCCCACCCCTTCGCCCCGCCGGGCAGCATCCCCCCGAACACGGGGCATCGTTGCGGGCAGATCCTCCCCTGCCCCACGCCGCTTACGTGCACAAAGGGGCTGGGAGCCCGTCCACTGCTGGGTGGACTGGCAGACGCGCAGGGAGGTGCCCTGACGCTCGTAGCCCCCGTCACACAGGTACTCGCAGGTGGCCCCGTAGTTGTTGCCATCGGAGGTGCAGGAGAGGTAGCCGTTCTGCGGAGGCTTCAGGACGGGGCAGCGCCTCACTGGGAAGAGGGAAGCTGGGTGAGGGCTGGGGGTGATGGGGCACGGAGCCGGGGGGAGGCAGCCAGCAGCCCCAGGGGAGCCCGCTTCACCTTGGACGCGGACGCTGAACTTGCAGCTGGCTCGGTTGTACGCCTGGTCGTGGGCGGTGTAGCGGATTACGTGCTCTCCTTCGGGGAATTCGGAGCCGGGCTCCGGACCCCGCAGCATCACCCTGCACTCAGCAGATGGGTTTCTCCGTCAGGGCCCCGGGAGGGGGCACCCAGCGTGGCCCCCAGCCCTCGGTGCCCGCAGTGCCTCTGCCCTCACCTCTTGATGATGCCGTCAGCAGAGTCCTTCACGCGGGGGGGGTCCCAGTAGACGGTAGCGGTCAGCTTGCCTGGCTCGGCTATCCGCTCCCGCGAGTCTGGGCAGCGGATCTTAGGAGGCTCCATATCTACCCGCAGGGAGGAAAGGGAGTCGGGGAACCTGCGGGTGCCCTGGGCTACCAGAGCTGGCCACCGGCCCCGGTGCTCAGCTAGCCCAGGGGTGCTGCATGCAGCCCAGGCACCCCAGAGCCGGCTCTAAAGCCAGCACCGAGTGCCCCAATCCTGGACCGACGTGCCCCACACCAGCCCCTGCTTCGGGGCTAACAGCACCTCGGGGAGCAGCGGGGACAGGGGTCCCAGGGCCAGAAGGTGCAGGAGCTGGCAATGCCTGGGTCAGATTTGGGGGGTGATACCTGCAGGTAGCCCAGGGATGGGAGGGTGACCTGCAGCACGGAGGTGGGAGAACGGTAGGGTGAGAATTTACCTACACAGATCGGCTCGCTCCCGCTCCAGCGCCCATCCTCCATGCAGACGCGGCTCCGGTCGCCCTCCAGCTGGTAGCCAGGCAGGCAGGTGTAGTCGCAGCGGGAATCCATCTGCACGCCGGCCGAGCACACGTAGGAGCCCCGCAGCACCGCTGGCAGCACGTGGCACCGGATTTCTGGGATGGAGAGAGGAAAGAGAGGACGGAAGCGACTGCCCGGCCATGCTAGTGGGCAGAGCACCCAGGACCGGCCGCCGTGGGTGCCCACGGGGATGCCGGCAAGCCGACGGCCAGGGCATACTCACGTCGGCAGTACGCCATCCCGGACCAGTGGCGGCTGGGCAGGCACTGGACGGCACTGGGCCCCACCAGCCGGTACCCGCGGGCGCAGCTCAGCTCGCAGCGCGTCCCCAGGCTGCTGCGGTAGGAGCCCCCCCGGGGCGAGTAGCAGGTTGCCTCTCCGCGGTGGATGTTGAGCGTGGCACACCACTGGGGCACTGGGGGAGAGGAGGGAGGTGAGGGAGGCACCCGGCCTCGCCGTGTCTTGGTTTCCCCATGAGGATGCGAGGGATGGGTTTGGGTGCCGTTACCTCGGCGGTAGTCCAGGGCAGGCTCGGGGGGGGCTTCTTCCACGTACACTTCATTGGTGTGGCTCTCAGCCGTGTAGTAGCCGGACCCTGGGGAGGAGGAAGGAGGTGATGGCGCTGTGTGATGGTTCGTGGCCGCGGCAGCACCCAGGCGATGATGCCTCCCGGGGCAGCTTCACCCTCCAGCACCGAAACATCCCGCAACTCCCAGCAAGCGATCCCATCCCTGGGCAGACCCTGTCCTGCCGTCCTTGGGGCTGCCACCAAGGGTTAAGCTGGGCAGACAGCGAGCCCAGTCCCCAGCGACACGGTTTGCACTGGCACCAGCCCGCAGACTAAACAGCGGCGGGAGCAGCCGCGGTTATGGCAGGAAACGGGTGCTGGCACAGAGTGGGCTGGCACCGACCCCCGGCTTCGGGCTGCCGGGAAATCCTTCCACCCGCTCCCGTGGCACCGTGCCTGCTGCCGGGTATCCCAAGGGAGGGAAGCAAGCTGCCCTCTCCTGCCCGTCCCAGCGGAGCCCCTGGTCAAGGCAAGGGAGGAGAGGCATGGCTGGGGGGCTGGCGGGGATGCAGCCCCTCGCTTGCGTGCCAGGGAAGGATGAAGTTGCTGGAGGGACGCTGCTGGAGGGGCTTGGCCAGAGCCGCTGGCCCCACGCCATCCGTGCTGTGCAGAGGGGCCCCCGGCCCCAAGGACAGGGGGGGAGGACAGCCTCGCGCCATCCTTGCGGGCCACCCTCCGGCCCATGCCGTGTCCCCGTGGGCGAGGGAGCCGTGCAGGGGCAGAGGGTTGGCTCCCTTCCCTGCGGCCCCTCGGTGCCTCGGCCGGCCGCGGCATTCCCCAGCACTGAGCTCACGTTTCCGCCGCGTTTCCGTCGGCCCCCGCCAGCCCACCCCACCGCGCTCCCCGCTCCGGCATGGCGGGGATGCTCAGCCTGGGAAGGGACCCCAGGCGAAGCGGCAGCCCCGCTGCGGCTGCACCCGTCTCCCCTTCCCCCTGCTCCGGGTTTTGGGAAGGGGATATCCGCCAAGGCCAATCCAAGCGGCAGCCCCGCCGTCACGGGGAGGAAACTCCATTACAAATCTTTCCGACATGAACTTTACTACAGAGCTACTCCCCACCGCTTCCCACAAGCTTCTTCAAGTCGCCTACGCATTTCCACAAGCCTTTTATCCCGACGCGCTTCCCACGCTGCCATGGCTTCCTTGGGGAGCAGAAGGGCCCTAGGCAAGCGCAGGGCTGGCATCCGTGGGGCTGGCGGTGGGGATGTGTCGGTGACCCGGGGAGGGGGCTGCTGAGGCCCCCCCGCCGGAGCCCGCAGGCAGATGTGCCATTTAATTGCGATGTTCCCTTTTCGTGCAGGCGCTGGCTTTTATTTCTCACCTGGGGCCAGCTCGCAGGAGCATCCCCAGCCAGCAGTGCTGGCAGCATGGCAAGGGGATGGGGATGGGGAGCAGGGAAGGGGGAAACCCCCCCAAACAGGGCAAGGGCTTTGGATCTTTGACCCAGCTGCCTGGCTGCAGGGGAGGGGGGGTTGGATCTGAGCGCTCCATCCAGCAAACATCTGCCGGCCGATGGCCCCCGCGGGAGCAAGGAGTCAGCGGGAAAGCTGCTCTCCCGCAGGCAAGGGCGTGATGGAGAGGCTGGTTTTCTGCTCCTCTCTGGATGCCTCCCAGCACTCCCTCCGCTCCTCCCCGTACCCCACAGCGCACCCCCGCAGGCTCCCCGTACCCCGCAGGCACCGATGCTTTTGCCGGCATTGCCGTACCAGGGCAGCCCTCCCTCCATCCCTCCCCCCCGCGAGCCCCCCGACGGGAGCGGGACCCCGCGGGCTGCCGTCCCCCGGGAGCCCCGCTGCGCCCGTACACCCCAGCACTCACCTTCGTGCCACGTGGATGACACCAGCCTGGCGAGGACAACCAGCAGGACGGGGGCTGCCTCCTGAGCCATGCCGGGGGGGCCGGGGGCCGGCCAGCCCACCTGCCTTGTGGGGTCCAGGGGCAGCCGTGAGCCCCCAGCGAGGAGGGAGAGGGGCTGGAAACAGGACAAGGGTCCCCTCCGTCGCCTTGTCACTGCACAGACGCCTGACCCTCCTCCCTGTTGCTGCCTGTGCTGAGCAAACCTACTTTTCCCCTCTGCTGCCCGTCCCAAACATTCAAAAGCCGTGAGTCAGGCCCAAAATGATGTGATTGTCAAAAATAATAAATCCCAGGATCGCCCGTTTTCCAATGCACCTCCTGCTTCTCTGAGGCTTTAAAAGGTTGTTAGATTTTTTTTCTTTGCAAAGCAGAAGAGCCAGGAGCCTGTTTCGACACAGGCGAGAGCTGAGTCGAGCCTGTGCCAGCCCTGCCGGGCTCCGGGAACGGGGATCCTGGGGGGCCGAGGACAAAACCACGGGAGCCAGGACCCTTTTTCCACCTCTTGCCAGGAGGGAGGGAGAGACCTCACTGCAGACGGCGGGCTCCGAAACCCAGTCCCGAGGCAAACGCTTCCAGCTGGGGTCTGTTTTCCAGCTGAAGTTCAGCCCCCGCGAGGCAGAGGTAATGAAACGCTTTCGTTAGGACCCGCCGCCCCGCGTCCCACGGGGATGGGTGGGAGGCGAGGTAGGAGCGGGACCCACCTGGGATTTGGGGTCTGGAGCACAGCACCGCATGGGTAGAGGGGAGACGAGGGACGAGGCTGGCATGGACAGGTAGGAGAGTTGGCGCGGGGCGGCGGCGGGGGACACGCTGCCTGAATGCGCTAATTATGTGGCGGCCAGGACGGTAAGCACACTAATTAATAACACAGCTGTCCCGAGCAGGAGAGGGCTGTCGGGAGGCCGCTGTGCAGGGCTGCTTGCTGCAGGGTGTGGGGAGCCCGCGGCCCCCCACAGCCTGGGGACACCCCCAATTTGGGGACGGGGTGCTCACCCGTGGCGGGCAGGAAGCCCGTCGCTTGCCAGCATGGTGGCCGTGCCATGTGCTGGGGCGCTGGGTGGCTGCCCCCCGGCTGGTCCCTGCTCTGCCGGGGACACCTGGGCAGGAGGTGGGGGCCACGTTGGGGCTGGGGCTGCATCGCCAACCACTAGGGCAGGAGAGCAGGGACTGGGTGGCACTGGGCAGGCAGGAGGTGGCA